GGCCACCATGATGATGACCACTGGACGCTAAGCAAGGTGACCTCCTAAGAGTTGCCCACTTACCCCTGATGAGATTTAAGGGAACTGGGGATAATCTCCCTAATCCTTAGAGAAAAAACCGAGACACCATGAAGAGGCAGAGCTGGTCCAAACCAAGCCCTTCTTTCACTCCAGGGTCACACCCTCTGCATGCAGTCTGACCCGCCTTTAGTCACCAAATGGGGACAAGCTCGTAGATGACAGGCAGCACATTGGAGCAACAAGACCAGGAGGCGAAGGCAAGGGGACAGCACCTCCTAGATGACTGACCCCACCCTGTTTCAGAGGCATTCTGGGGACCACCTCCCCACCGCGCACTCTGACACTGCAAAGCCCTGACCCAGCGTCCCAGGGACGCTCACTCTGTTTAGTGCGAAGTCAAAAGCACCCAGGAGGGTGCTCACGTTGGACGGAGAGGCTCCGAGAAGGGCAGGGGCGCTATACTGATCTCCATGTCTCTGCTTCTCCCGCTCTCTGACTTACGGCTTGATTTCTCCCATGTGCTCCCAAACGTCCCTAGCAGAGCCAGGAGCCACCTGGCAAAAGGCAGCAACTTTCTCTTGGAAACTCCTCAGGTGTATGCAGCACAACTCTCTGGGTGCTGGGCTGGCCTCGGCCACCTCTGGGTTCTAAGGAGACTGTGGGTTCGTGGACTGCTGTAACTCTGGGAGTGATGCTTGGGTACATCATGGTGGGGTCACTCACGGTGGACGGCTTCCAAGGAGCTTCCATAGTAACCCAGAATGGGAAGAAGGCCATGGTGAGCTGCTTCTGAAACAACTTCCCAGTGTGGATGTCATGACACAGTGCGGGAGATGACCCCCCGGGATGGAAGGGCAGAGGGACACCACAGGACACAGTGTGAGGAGATGGCCCCCCGGGATGGAAGGACAGAGGGACAGCACAGGACACAGTGTGGGGAGATGGCCCCCCAGGCTGGAAGGCACTCCAGATATGGTTGCAGGGAGAGCTGACACCTGAGCGTAGGTCTTAACACTACGGCCAGGGCACAGCTGTGAGACCTCCACTTGCTGACATGGTACAACTCAAAATGAGACAAGTCAGCTGCAAATATCCATTAGTAACAGAAAATATGGAGAGTCTGAAGTATGAATCTAGGAAAAATTGAAATTGTCAGAAATGAAATGAAACGCTAGGAGATCACATCCTGTCACCGGGGGCTGGGACCATCTAATGCTGGACAATCACACAGTCAGTCCTCCCTGCCGAGAAGGGCAATGTGAAGAGGAATGGTATCAGCCTCACTGTCAGCATTTCAAGATCTCCCCTGACTCAAGAGGTTCATATCCACAGACCCACAAGGAAGATTCGCGAATGGGAGTGTTATTTGAATTTAGGCACCAGCCACTGATGCCAAAAATGGGAAGAAAAAAAAAATTATCAACTTCTGCAGCCTCAAATGGATCAAACATGCACTCAGGTTGCAGTGATACCTGTGAGTCAAACGCCAAGTCTGGAAAAAGGTGGCTCTGCCGTGAGTAACCATGGCCTTGAAGACAAGGACGACGGAATCCCCTAACACCAACTAACGACTTATGCACTGTAAAAACCTCTTTATCGACAACACAAATGGTGATGATCCACGTGGACCGTGCTGAATGAAATACACGGGAGTCAAATCTGTTACATCTGTCCCAACGCGACAGTGGAGAAGCTCTGAGTCACCAGGCACGCAGCGCCGGACGCCAAAGGCAGAGCTGCCCGCCAACGGCATGCAAGCAAGTGCGAACTAGCGTGGAAGAAAATGAAAACGAACGAGCTCAGGGGAGGGAAAACACCCCCGAGTGCATCCTGCGCAGTTTCAGAGCCATCTCACCTACGGAGCAGAGGCGTTAAACACAAAGGGTCGAAGACCAGAAGGGGTGTGGGATGTATCAAGACCTCATACTTGAACAAAACAGAAGGTCACAGAGAAGAAAATGGTGTCAGCAGAGCCTCTGAAACTTGCTAAAGTGAATGAAAGAAATGTTGACGGAAGGGGCCGGACAGAAGATTTAGATCAGCTCGAAGGGCAAAGCAAAGCATGATCATGAAATCGGCAAAGAGCTGAAGTCAGAAACTCACAGGGCTGAACATGCTTGGGGAAGACGTGAAAGGAAATCTCAAGTCTCACGTGGCAATACTGAAGGATTTTATGGACAAAACAGGGAAGGAAACAGGAAGTTCCAAGAGAAGGGGGAAGGACGAGGGTCTCCACTCACACGAACTGAGGGAGCGGAAACCCTCAGGCCACGCTGCACTGGAGGTCTGGTCAACCACGAGGCCCCAGGCCCTGACTGGGACGTGTCAGCAAACGCAATCCCACATGAGAAATGCTTACTGGTTTATGCTCAGAAACCAGGAAGACAGCCACCTGGCCAACCCAGATTATGTCCGTTCCAAAGAAAAGCATCAAATGGAATGTGGGAAGCATCAAACAATGTCAATAATGTCACACGCTAATAAAATGTTGAAGATAATTAAGAAGTGTTTGCTGCAGTTCATCAACAGGGAACTGCCAGAGTCAAGGTTCAGAAGAGACTGTGGAACCAGGGGCATCAGATGCACCGTGGTTGAAAGCAGGGACTCTTAGCTGTGCTCACACTGGACTCGATCTAGACGCAGATCAAAAGGCAGTTGTTTGAACAGAACAAAGGGGATAATGTAGGATCGAAATTCAGGAAGAGAGCATCAGGGTGGTGTTCTCTTATCATACTTGTGTATGCTAAACAAATAATTATGTTTATGCTAAACAAATAATTTCAGAAGCTGGGCTCTCTTAAGAGAAACCCGGCATCATGATTGGAGAAATTTCCCCAACAACCTGCCTTGTACAAATGATGTAAAGAAATCTGTCCTAGAAGAGGCACAGCCAGAATGTGCCAATTAGGTATTACTGTCATGACAGGAGTCCAGAACGAAGGCTGCAGAGTGGAGTGGACCTGGGGGCAGGGATTGTAAAACAATGAAAAAATTTTTCTTTTACTTTTCAAAGAGAAGAGTGTACTGGGGGGAGGGGTGCGCAGGGAGAAAAGTGCAACAGTGAATGAATGGAAATCCAAAGTTTCTATAAATTTTCATTAAAATTAATAATAATAATAATAATGAAACGAGGAAGGCAGGCTTTCCCATCGTGTCCTCTGGGCATGTTAACAGGAGGGGCCAGGCCTCTGAGTTGACTGCGTGTCATGCAACCCTATGAACGAGGGATCTGAACCCTGTTCTATCCTGCGCCATCCACAGCGTCCCTGACACACTCGAGTCCACTACTAGTCACTGTGTCAACCCACTCACTGAGTGTCCAGAGAAGGATGCAATCCTTGGTTTAACAGAGGGTCAGAGAAAACAGGGAGAGACCCTCAGTGAGATGGACTTGCACGAGATTACAACAACGAGCTGGAACACAGGAACAGATGTGAGGAGGGGGCACAGCCGGGCGCGGCTCAGTGTGTTCTATGTGGGCCCTTTAGGGGTCAGGACCCCTAACGACAGTGACAAAGGGACAGAGACTTTACTGGGAAATGAGCATGTGGCGTTGCTGGGATTATTTTTAGAAAATGACTAGTACATTTTCCCAGTCCTTTGGTTCCAAATCACAATTTCCTACATGGCAATTTTTGAAGAGAGGGAAAAAAAAAATCCCTTCATAAATATCTTTCATGGAAACATTTACCCAGCACATTAACCAAAGCTGTAGGAATTAAAAGATAAAACAGATCCGGAGTTTGCACAACGTGGATTCTTTTTGGAAATTCTTAATAAAAGCCAGATGTGTAAAGAAGGGACCAAGTTGTTTACTGCCAAGCGAGGGAGCCACTTGGCCAACTCCAGGCAGGGAAGCCCAGGGCCCCGCGTCAGGCTGAGTCGCATTCTGTCGCACTGTAACCACTCAGCCTTATTTCCATGGTATTATCACCCAATTAGCATAATCTTCTGATCCCAGGGACTAATCTCGAATTCAGAAGAGGATCGAGCCTCAGGCCAATGGTCTTCAAGTTTTAATTGACCGTGGCCTGTAGAAGAAGCACTTGTTGATGGGTTATTTTTTTTTTTATCTCTGTAAAAGAAATCGTTTGAGGATAAAACTGAAAAGCAGCTACAATTTCCTTTATAGGAGTGAATTAAAAGGATTTACAAACTTGGAATTTTTACAGCCTGTGGGTTGGAATCAATTGCTTTATGACTAAGCCTCCTTTATACAAGACCATTTTTGGGGGGAGAAAAAGCATGTTTAGCCTGTGAAGCTGAAATTCCTTTCTTAGCCTTGCTAACGAGAGTAAAATTAAAGTACAATGTATAAAAAGAACATAAAATTCAGCATTAGACAGCTGTACAGAGAGAAACTGTTCTCATGCACATAATATATCCTTTTAAAACTGCTAGAACCGATAAAGCACGTAACAAGCTATTAAGATCTTACTGCTTCACTTTCCCCAATTAAAAACCATCACTATCAAGTTGATAGGTATTTATTAGAATCCATTATAAACGAACTTCATAGAAAAGTTCAAAACTAGAATTATATTTCATGAAACCAAAATGAAAAACGGTTCTTATTTCTAGGGGGAACTCAATTGAAAGCAGTTTGTAAAGTCTTAAAGGTAGACATTTTCACCTGCGTGGCCTCAGAACACAGCTGCTAACCTCAACACCAACGTCAAAAGGAGCTGAAAGGCAGCAGGGTGGCGAGCAGAGGTGGGAATTCGGAGGAGCTGTCCCTCTGTGGGAATGGGGAGCTCCGAGGAGCATCCCCGGTCTGGGTTATGCACGCTGGGACCTCCGAAATAACCCCTGCCCCCAGCTGAGCTCTAACTGGAGTGGGCTCTGACTAGAGCAGGCGAGGAGACGCCATGGTTGCCCACCAACAGGCCTCAGTGTCTGTTGACCAGGGAACTCTGGATTCCCTGAGGACAGCGGGGACTCAAACTCCCGACCAGCAGAAGCCAGGAGCAAGGCCTTACCTCTCACTGTTCTTCTTGCCGCTGGAAGAACTGCTGGTGGAGCCCGTCCGATTGCGGTTTCCTTTGGGGTCCCCGTAGCTCTCCCTCCGGCCCCCAGGGGAGACACGTTCAGAAGAGCTGGTCCGTTTGATGGAGCTAGAAATGGAGCGTGAATGACAAGGTCCTTTAACACCATGGTGTGACTTTACTGTCGCGTGTAACAGTGGACCACAGGGCATCGGGGGCACGAGGGGCTTTACAAGCTAGCTGGCCTCTGAAATCCTATGCAGGGATGTGCACGCTCTTCCCATGTGCCCTGGAGTCGGGGTAGTGCTCACGGCCCTTGTAACCATCGTGGTGGAGCCCGCTCAGGGCTGCACAGAGGACCCTGACCTGGAGGAAGCCACGGGGCCCACCATCCCCGGCCTGCCGTCCAGTGGCTCCTGGCCATGGGTCTCCCCCCAGGGGACATGTGGCACTGTCTGGAGATATTGGGTTGTCACACTAGGAGGCTGCATTTAGTGGGTTAGGCCAAGCTGTATTTCCATGTGTGACTGAGTCATAGCTGACCCACAACAGATCCTCTGGTGAGTTTTCAGAGGCAGTAAATCACATGGAAGGAGACTGCCCGTCCTTCTCCCACAGAGCACTCGCTGGTTTTGAACCACATGCCTTTGGGATAGCAGCACAGCTTCTTACCACTAGGCTACCAGAGCTCCCCAGACCGGGTTAGATCCCTTGTTGTTGCTCGGATTCTAGTAAGCCTTACAGACTGCAGGGTGAACCGCCGTCCAGCCCTGGGGCCACCTCATAATTGCAGGCAGGCCTGCACCACGGCTGCGGTCTTCATGCCACCATCCTCCCCTTTCCACATCTTCCACTTTACCAGCCACAGTGTCTGTCTCCAGGGCACAAGGAAGAGGGACACTGCTGGACATGCTAAAGCGTCCAGGACAGTGCTGTCCCACCCCGGAACCATCCAGCCCAGGATGCTGACGGTGCTGGGAGTGTCGAGCTGTGGTCTAACGGCCTGCAGGGGGCAGCACCAGTGGACACCATAAACAGCCTGCCAGCCTTGACCAGGCGGTGTCCACGTGGGGCTTAACATCCCTCCGTGTAACAGGAGAGGCGGCCTGGGGAGGGAGGCCTGGGGAAGGCTGCCGGCGGCTGGGGAACTTCTGGAAAGATCCAAGGGACGGCGTGAATGTGTGGCAATTACAGGGGAGAAGAGCCTGCTGGTGGCCAAGGAGGCCCGCAAGGGAGGGGGGGTGAGGCAGAGCTGGGGAGGGGTGGATGGTGGGCAAGCGGCTGTCCTGCAGGGGCTCTGAGACACTGCTCTTCACCACGGGGTCCTGAGAGCCTGCTCACGCATCGTCGGTGTGCACTTCCAGAGGTGATGTGGACGGAGGAGTGTGTGTCACAGGCAAGGACAATCTCCTTAACCGAAAGGTGAACTGGGGGTGGTGGTGTTCCCCGGCTGGGGCTCAAGGAAGAAGGTCCAGCGGGGTAAGTCAGCCTGGACATGCAGGGGTGTGCAGAGACACACAATGACTGCCACTTCTGAGACCACTAGGGACAGCAACGTCCAGCTGGTGGTCAATGAAGGGACTACCAACCGGTCTGAGGGGAAAGTGCCGTGTGAGGAAGGAGAGAAGAGATGGAGACAGCGTCCAGGAAACTCCACTTATGACGGCGTGGGTGTGGACCAGGACAGTGTTGAGGCAGCAGGTGCGGGGAGGAGACGTGGGGTAAGGACACAGCCTGGGCCAAGCTTCAGTGCAGGGTGAGAAGGAGACAGGTGTGCAGGGAGGGGAGACAGGGGCTCCCAGGCTGAAGGTCCCCATCCTCAGGAAGAATCTCCCCTCAGAGTCCCCTCAGCAGTGACCCTGCCCTTCTCCCCTCACTTCTCTTCTGTCTGTTCCTTCCTCCAGGCCGACATTGTCAGTCCATTCCCTTCTAACATCTAAGCACTCGGCTCAACACCTCTGTGCGTTTGCAGAAACCTCAGGGTGGGCTGGCTTTGAAAACGCCTCTTGCGTGAGCAGCAAGGGAAGGAAACAGGTAAGCTGAGTATGAGGACTGTTCTTTCCATCCTAATCCTTGTCCTGGTGCAGCCTGCCGGTGGCTGAGGGAGGGCGGGACCTGCACCAGGAGCTACAACTGGCCTCTGGGTGGGGTGTTTTGAGGTCAGAATGTGAATTTTTAGAATGCTCAATTTTAGGTCAAGGAAATTACAGACCTGAAGAGGGTATCATGTTCCTGAATTTAGGATTTGAAGTTTAAGATTCTAAAATTCTTTGTGTTTAATGTCCGAAAGGAAGAACATCAAGTTAAACCAACTTACCGACTGCTAGAGCTGATCCTGGCTGTGGACAGGGCAGCACTGGCCCTGGGTTACGACCTCAGCAGTAAGGAACCCTGGTAGCACAGTGGCTGCGCTTTGGCTATTAGTCAAAAAGCTTATCAAGGGGAGCTGTGCTGGCCTAGTGGCAAGAAGCTGCACTGCAATTCCAGAGGTACGTGGTTCAAATCCACCAGATGATCTCCTGGAGGAGGGGCAATCTTCTCCTGTACCAGTCAGATCCAATTTGATGGCACACACATACACAAAATAATAAAAATAACTTTTTTTAAAAAGCCAATCGTTTTGCACATGTCTTCCGCCCTGCAGGAGAAAGCCGAGGCAGGGGCACCTGTAAGGATCCCAGTCCCGGGGCCTGTACCACGCAGCTCCTCTCTGTCTGGCACAGCTGCACTGAGTCAGAACCAACCAGACAGAAATGGGCATCCTCTGCACAAGGAGACTGCCAGGTCTTTCTCCCTAGGAGCAGATGCTGGATTCGAACTACTGAACTTCCGGTTCATAGCCAAGTGCCATAACCACCATTGCTCATTCAGCTGCACACAGTGGGGTTAGTCTCTCTGTCTCTGGCACAAGGCTCTTACGCACGGTGCCTCTCAGCTAGGCACCGACCAGGGGAGCAGAAGACAAGCCCAGAGCTCCAGCCGTCCCTGGAGGGTCTCCGAGACCACGAGTGGGGACAAACTCGATGGTGAAAACACAGACGCAGGGCCTTGGGCATGGAGACAGCAGACAGCATACAGCTCGCTTCCTCACAGGCCTTCACCTAAACCTCAACTCCTACACAAGGTCGGGATGCCACCATGCAGCCGGGGAAACACGTTCAGGGACGGGACGTGACGTGACCCGGTGAAGTCACACCGTGAGTGCTGCGCTGCCCCGGGCCCCACCCACCCAGGTGAGGTCACCCGCCGTGTAGGTGAGGTCACCCGCCGTGTAGGGGACACAGAAGGTCCAGGTTCCTGATGGTGGACATCCAGGAGGCCAGGTCACGTCAGTCACAAACAGCGCTACAGGAGGTCAGACAGGACAGACTCACAGACGCAGGGGACTAAGGTCTGCAAGCTCCCATGGGTGGGGGTTGGGGGGACTAGGGGAAGCTAAGGGGCACACACGCAGCTAAGCGCCCTCACCTGGGTGACGATCTATTCAGTTTGCATGCACTGAGAAGGCTCACGGACCTGTTTAATCTGCACACGAGAAGCACAGAGAAGAAGCAGAGAAAACCATGAGAGCAGCAGGGAGCACACAGCAGACACCGTCAGCAGCTTCAGGGTCACAAGCCACGTGCTGACATGTGACGGCGCCTCGGCCTGAGAGAGACACTGGTGGACCCCCCGCCCACGGCCTCCCCACAGCGTTTGTTCACACACTGCCATTAACATGTGACACTGTAAAAGCATCAAACAACAACAAACTCAAGACATTTCATTCTGAGAGCAGACAGCTTTTAAGTCAAACAGGAGTTACTAGAAGTGAGGGACAGAAAATCCACCTTAAAAGCAAGACATCTGAGGGATGAGGGCAGTGGTACCAGCAGTCCCCTTACACTGAAGGCAGGACATCCGAGGGACAGGGGGTGAGGGACGAGGGCAGTGTGTGAGCAGTGCTGTCCCCACGGTGGGGCCCCCTTCCCCTGACAGCGGGCAGTGCCCACACAGTGGGTTCGAGGGGAAAACACCTCTCTGAGCTCTGGACAGGGGTCCATGAGCTCGTGACAGACTGCATCACGTCAGCAAACCGAGAAACCCCAAACCCAGTGCCGTGGGGTCGATTCTAACTCACAGGACGCAGCGGACCAGCCCCTCGTTTCTGAGGCCGCCTCTCTCTCAGGGGAGTGGTGTGTGCGGACACCCTACAGCCGCACCTTTCGCTAAATGAGAATGGGAGGTCTGAGCCCAGTAAGCACTTCAGAGGAGAACAGAGCAGCTGCACACAGAGGCCACCACGACTGTGAGGAAACTCAGGGCACACACACAGAGTTCACCATGTAATGTGAAATCAAGAGTTGGTTCTACAGAATCTGCTAAAAGAAATCTGGCAGAACGTGCACCTGCAGACACTGGTGCAGCTGGTGGTTTAGCTGACAGGTTAACACTTTAAAAACTATTCACTCAACCAACACTTCTCAGACATCAGCTGTGACTGGGGGCTGGGCCCTGGGGAGTCAGCACGGTCAACTGGAAAGACCGCGTGACACGTCCTGCCAATGAGAGACTTCTGACAAGAGGGGTCACCGAGGTAACTGTGGAAGGAATTCTTAGGGAGCTCTGGTGTCTTAGTGGTAAGAAGATGCAGTGCTCTTTCCATCCACCAGCTAGGCGTCCATCACCTTTGAGCCACTACCCCGTCATTCCAGGAGAACCGGGCACAGGGAGGGGCCACCGCTGCTTCTAAAATCCAAGAGGTCCTCCCCGTTCACAGACAATCTACCAATCCTTGGTCACTGAGAACAGATTAAAAATGTGAATCTAAAGCCTCTGTTCCAAGTCATCAGGCCAAGTGAAAGATACATTAGAAAGAAATGTTTAAAACTAAAGCCAATTAGATGGGCATTTTCTAGTCCTTAAATCACGGAGCCCTGGTGGTGCAGTGGGCTAAAAGCTGGGCTGCTAACCAAAAGGTTGGTGGTTTGAACTCACCGGCTACAACTTGAGGCAGAGACGGAGGCCGACTGGGCCTGCAAAGGTCCCAGCTCCAAATGGCCTTGGGGCAGTGCGGTTCTGTCCCACAAGACCGCTGGGAGTTGAGGCCTATTCCAAGGGACAGGGCTTTTGGATTGCTTGGTCACCCTTTGAACCCGAACTTGAACTTGAGCTCACTCTGGTGGGTCAACTTTCAATCAAAGAGCAGACAGGCCCAGAAGGTGCCTAACAACACCTGGGGGCCGCCCACTCCTTAGACTAACAATCTTAACTCAAAAACTCATTGTCCTTGATTTGGAATTGACATGCAGCTGACCGTCCATGGGTCTGTGGGGCCACGTCACACGGGAGGAGACCGAATCTCTGTTAATAACGCTGAGCTGCTGGTGGGGCCCCTGCCAGAGAGGCGCTGCCTGTGGCCAGCAGCCCAGCACCCTACACACTGCGCCACCAGAGCGCCCCGGCCCACTGCGTACGGCCAACAGACGGCAGCTGCCCGAGGACTGGGCCCAGAGGGCAGCACGGGGCAGGCTGCGAGGTTTAGTGGCAATGAGATTACAGACGGGGAGGGGAAAGATCCAATTACACTGTGTGTGTTGTAAGCAATGTTATAAAACAGTGTGTGTGACGGCTGAGCGGAAACCAGCCTGCTCTGTAAGCTTTCCCTCAAATCACAACGCACAGACCTGACGGACGACGTTGTTGTGTGCTCTCAGCTGACCCTCCAGCGGGCTTGCAGACTGGAAGCCACACACGGCCATCCCAAAGGCCTGAGGTTCGAATCCACCCCAGCTCTGAGGGCCTCACCACTAGGGCCACATGTGCATGAATACAAGTACATGTTTTTTAAAAAGAATATACTTCCCTAGTATTTTCCTCACCATTGTTTAGGTATAAATCAGGGGGAGGGGGTAGGCTACAGGAAAAAATAAAAAGAAAGTCATATTTTGTATAAAAGAATGGCACACATTTGAGCGCTGACGTCGGTGCCGTGACAAACGTCCGTTTCTGATGGGTGGACGGCTTTCCCGGGACACTGGGGCCCCTGTTGGGGAGCATTGGACGTGCCAGCCCAGCGTGGGCCCTCTTTACAGAAATTCTTTCCCCACAGGCTTCTTCTGTGACCTGTATTCTCACAACCCCGCTGCTCTGAGCGGCAAGACTGGACAAGAGTGGACGCTTGTCCCCTCCTGAGCAGGGACATGCGGGCCATTGTCTGTCTCAGCACCCCCACGGGCAAGGTAGGGGCCATGGCGCCCTCCTGGGCTTTCGGCTTCTCTCCCCTGATTAATGGAATAAAGCTTTTCCCAAGGATTCCCAGTGGAGCCCCTGACCCAAGTCTTAATTGGCAACACAAAGGCCAACCACTGGCTGCTGGACAATTTCCAAATGGGGGTCCCCCGCCATTAATCGCTAAGCTGGAAACCAGGGAAAGAGGAAAACAAACCCACCTCTCCTGGCCACACGGGACCCGACAGAGCAGGTCCTGGATTCTGACATGGAGATTCTTACAGGACCGTGAACAGATGTGAGGTGGTGCAGGGTGTTAATCCTGCATTGCAGACACTGCGCTTGCTTTGGTTTCAAGTTCTCTCTGAGCGAGGGATTTATAGAAACCTTATCACGAGGCGACAGTCTGAGGCTGATGCTCAGGGTTCCAAGGAAGCTGGTAGCAAAGTGATTTCAAACTTGACTACTAACCTCCTGGCCAGTGGTTCAAATCCACCAGTTGCTCTGTGGGAGAAAGCTGGGCAGTCCAGTTCCATAAAGCTTTACAGCCTTGGGGACCCCGAGGGGCAGTTCTCCTCCGACCCACAGGCTTGCCGTGCACCGCCACTGGGCAGGTGGGCGAGTTCATGCTCCGTTTTCCATGAGGATGGAAACTCACATCTCTGGAAGAGTCCAGTCCAAGAAAACGGATTCAGCTTCACCTGGTCATAGAGTCACCCCAGATAGCGATACACTTCTCCCCTGCAGCTCACCAGTCCATCTGACTTGTCTCTCAGGTGAGAACCGTCTGTAGCAGCCTTGAACGTGTGAGTGGGCGCACCCCCGAGCACGTGCACCCCCGAGCACGCGACGCCCTCAAGTCCACGCTGGCAGTGGACAGGGCAGTCTCGTGGCTGCGTTTACATGGAGGAACAGCCCCCCAGTTTTCACAGAGTGGCTGGAGGCTTTAAACCACCGGCCTTTCAGTTAGTAGCCAAGTGCCTAACGGGTGGCCTTACACACCCACCGCCCGCATGCGGAGATGTATTTGGTCCTGTTCAGAATCAAAAATGCAAAGTCACTGCTGTCGAGTCAGAGTCGACTCCCAGCTGAGTGTCCAGCGGGTTCCTGTGGCTGCGGGTCATGTGGGAGGAGGGTGCTGGCCATCCTCCCAGAGTCACCCCCGGGTGGGAACTGCTTCTGGGTCAGAAGCTCGACTCCTTGCAGGCTCCAGATCACAGCGACTCCAGGACGAGGAATCAGAACCCTGCCCTGTGCCGTCCTCACAGCCTCCTCTGAACTTAAGGCCATCACTGCGGTCTCTGTGCCAATCCACCTCACTGGGGGTCTTCTCTTTTGCTAGCCCTCCACCTTTCCAAGCACAATGTCGTCCTCTAAGGATACTGCCCCCTCACAACGTGCCTGAAGCGTGGAAGGTGACGCCTCACCACCCGTGCTTGTAAGGCGCACGCTGGCCGCACTTCACCCAGCACAGACAGCTGGATGCATAAGGAGTCTTGACGACACAGGACCTGTTGAGTTACAGACTGAAAGACTGCAAGGGTAGAAAGATCAGGTCGTTTCCTCCCGTGGGGCAGCTGGCGGGTTTGAACCCCTGATCTCTCCATTCTCTACATACATTGCTGTTATTGTTATCAGGTGCTGTTGAGTGCCCCACAACTCTCAGTGCCCCGTGAACAAGGGATCTGAAGCCTCATCCTGTGCCGTTCTCATCATCTGACACACCTGAGCCCCTGCTGCCGTCCTGTGTCAGTGTGTGTGACTCAGGATCTCCCTCTGCTGACCCTCCGTGTTCACAAGTGTCCCTCTCCAGGGAAGAGCCTCTCCCGGCGGGACGTATGTAGATACACAAAGGACCTCGGCCCGTGGGCTCTCCTGCCCACCATCCGTCTGTGAGCAAGGGCCCATCTCACTCTGCTCTGCCCTCCTCCTGCGGTCAGTTGCGGGCACCTCGCTCCCCAACCTTCCCCTGCCCTGGGTAAACGTTCCGGACAGTCCAGCTCAAAAGAACATTTGCCCAGGAATCTAACAATCACAGCCCTGAATTCTACAAGGTCACACAGAAAACCATGCAAGAGTCTGTCAGGTGCAGGGGGGTTACTGAGTCAAAGTCACACGGGACAGAACCCAGGGCCGCACTCAAGTCAGAGCTGGGGTGCTGAAACACCGCTCCAAGGCAGAAGCAAGTGAACCCAGAGGTACAAAGTCCCCTGATGGCTGCATTTTAATTTTCATAGTTTTTATCTTAAAAAAAATTTCCAAAAAAATTAAATTTTTTTTCACATTCTAAATATATAAAAGGTCAAATTATGATGTTCTTTTATTTTTTAAGGAGACAGAGAATCTCACTCTTCTTTAACTACCTGCTACGTAAGCAAGCCAGCGTTATCAATCTCAGGACATGTAGATGAATATAAAGAACGTCCTTATCAGCCAGTCCGAATCCACAAGGTCAACTAGTGTTGATTATAAATAAAAATGATTCCAATAAGTAGTAAGTGGAATTGAGAGCAGGCTCAGAATCTCATTTTAAAGTTCTCAAGAGCCACAAAAAACCAATGTCCTTGAACTCAAACCAGAGGTGCATGAGGCCCAGCGCGTGGACATGGAGGGCACGGCGGGGGTTTCCGTGCCAAGGTCCAGCGCGTCCCCACCAGGTCCTGCAGCCGCTGGGCAGCCTCGTACTCCAGGCTCACGTCTCCCCGCGGGCCTGTGGCCGTGAGCTACTGCAGACTCTAGGGTCTTCTCCGCCCAAAACCTTCAGGCCATCTGACTTCCCGGAGCCTGTGCACTCTGAGCGGTGACCCAGCCCAGACACAGGACCTTTCCCTCGGACAACCATGAGAAGCAGCAACGTTAACTGAACGCTGTGATCTGCCTGTATGTAGGACAGGGGTAACCTCAAGCTAGAAACTTGTCCAAAGTGTGCAGGTGCACAGTGGAGGTGGGAAGGTAGGTCTGAAATTTGCCATGTTCCAAGCACTGGTCTGGGGTTCCTCTTTACACAGGTGACCCTAAACCACACCCCTGGTCTGTGCCCCCACTGGACTCCAGGTCTGTGACTCCTCACAGGAGGACACAGCCTCATCATTCTAAAGGTGAAGGCTGGGGCATTTGAACTGCCAGCCTTTTGATTAGCAGCTAAAATGCCATGCACGATGCCACTAGGGTTCTGTCCACAGTTGAGGTGAGCATATTGTAGGGAAATAGTCAAGGTGGCACACAGCAGTTTCAGCCAATGAGATTTTAAAGACAGTATGATAAAATCTGAGAAGCAAGCAAAGCTCAATGATACACATCTCTGGCTTCCATCGCGGCAATACCCCCCACACTAGACTCTCCCTAACTGTGAAGGCTGATATGAGAATATCCTTGGTTTTCCACGCAGGCTGGAGCTGGGGTTAGCACGGCAGCGGACAGCTCTGCCTACCTTTTGGTGGCTGGGGTACTCGTCTCCTTCCTGGCCCCAGAGGGCGAGGGCAGGGAGCCAGATGGCTTCTTTGGTAACACGGTGCCATTGCTGACGGTGGTTCGTAGAGGCAGGGTCTGCACCAGTGGTCTTGCTGGAAGACAAGGAGAAAAGGAGATGAGATCTTTCCCTCACTGGGGTAAATCTTGGTGGGGCTGCAGACGTAGAGAGTGAAAGCATCGATCCAGAAAGGCCAGCAGAACAGAAGAGGTGGAGAAGCCTCTGGGGAAAGGACTGAGTCCCCACCACACGATGGACAAGGATGGCGGCCTCGGACTCCACGCGGGAGGAAACTCAAAGAGGACCAGAGCCCTAAACGCAAAACTAACAGAGAAAACCTGGGAGAAGAAGATGTGGGGCCCTGGGTTTAGTGTTTTTATATAAACCCGAAACATAATCCATGAAATTTATACAAAATCTGGTTACATTAGACTCCACTAAATTAAAAACATCTCTGCTCTTCTAAACAACACTACACATAAAGAAGAGACAGGGCACAAATGGGAGAAAATACTTGCTGATCATACACTGATGTGCAAATATACAAAGGACTCTGACAGAGCAACGTTGAAAACGTCCCCAAACCCAATTTAAACAATGTTACTGAAGGAAAGTTTGAAGCTCCATGTATAGGAATGAAACACGATGGATTCCAAGTTACATGCAAACCAACACAAAATTTTAAAAAGACAATAAAAACCCTCAACTTAAAAGATAGGTGTTAAGATTGGAACATGGACCTCATCAAAGACGACGCACAGTCGGCATAGCAACTGACAAGACGATCAACACTGTTGATCTTTAACACAAAATCCCACTGCCCTGCGCTGCCTCCCACTCCTGGTGACCTCCACGGGGGCAGCTGCTGCTTGCTGGGAGTATGTAGCCTCCTGCCACGAGCCGGGGGTGGCGGAGGGCTGTGCTTGGGGCTGCAGGCTGAGGTGACGTCCACTGCTGTGTCCGGGCACACAGCTGACTGCAGTGGACGCCCGACCCAGCTGCCGCTGCCGCTGCCCTGACAGGAGGTGGAGCAGTTCCTGGAAGTCAGGACAGGGACCAGGGGCCACTGGCCCCGACTCAAGGTGACCGCTTGTGTGACAGGGCAGACCGAGGACCCACAGGGCTTCCGGGGTGAGCACTCAAAATGAGAGTGGCAGGCCTCCCTTCTGAGTCACACTGGGGTGACGTCACCCAGAACCTCTCCATGGCAGCCAAGCCCGTTAACTGCTGAGGCCACCCAGGGGCTCCACACTTGCAAGGCACTTGGCATCTATTTGTTGATCAGAACTGAACTTAACAGAAGTGATGCTCTGAGGAGAAGCATTTTAGAATCACACAGGTGGACATCTGGGACAATGAAGGGGAGGTGCCAGATGAATAAAATAAAGAGAAGATTTTAACAAACCAAACCACACATGTTCTGGTTTCTCAGTTCACATAAAGCTATGTTTACACGGTAGTCTATTAAATCTGCGATGAAAGACTAAATGTGACACAGAGACAGCAAGGGAGCACACGGTGCTGGGAAAATGGTCTCACCAGGCCTGCTGGCCGCACCCTCCGACGTGCAGAACATGTGGGGTCAGCTGAGTGCAATGAGACCAGGTCAGTGGTAAGGGTCTGCATTTTCTCTTACTATCCAGTCTCATCACAGTCTAGTATTGTCCTTTCCCCCCAAAACAAACAGGATCTCAAAAGCCCATGGAAAGGAAATCCTGTGTGCACACAGCAGGTCTGCCAGAGAGCACAAGGCGGTTGGTCAGCGTCATGGACAGCTGGGCAGTCTGCAGAGCACATGGACCAGGCGTGGCCTGACAGAAGGTGGGGAGAGAGGGCTGGCAGGGAGGGGAAGGAGATGGGCAGCGACCATTCTTGAAATAACAAAGGAAGGTGGAAAGACCCCTGCTTTGGCAAGATTCAATTATGGTCCATTCTTTCTGAATACCCCCAAGGACTTTTGCTAACACTGAGTTCTTACATTTAAATTCACTTTTACTGTAATTTGAGAAAGCATATTGCTTCCACTTGGTTCACACACGTTTTGCTGGATAACTCTAATTACAGTGCTACAATGTAACTGCACTCTTCCCACCCCCTCCTTGTGACTCTCATTTCCACTGACCCATGCACCCACCCCTTCCTGCTTTCTGTTCTATTCTCAGGCAGCACTGAGCTCTTCGGTAGCACGATCACCACCACTCATCTACTCAGCATCTATTTGCACATGACATTGCACCGTTTTTCTTCCACTCTTCATTAGCTGAAAATGATCTCAAAGAGAGGGGGTGCTGTCACCAAGGAACATTTCTGGAAAAAATGAATGTCCTCGATCTGAAAAAGTTCCAGCAGAGATGATGAAGATGGCAGGAGACAGGAATGAAGTATTTCTAGACAAGTAAGCTTTTTTTTTTTTTAAAAAAAAAAAAAGAAAGATAAAATAGTGTGCCTTGTTCCTTTCATCAGAAAATTTTTTCTGATGGTGCTTTGTTGCTGGATTTTGCCCCTAGGAACAATTAAATGCTGTTTAACACACACACAGAGACACATACACACACACAGACATACACATATACACAGAGACATACTCTCTCTCTGTCTCTTTCTCTCTCTCTCTCACACACACACACACCTTTTAAAAGAGCAGCAGGGAACGCTGCAGACAGTTTCCTGTTCATCAGGTACAAAGATAAGTGACTCCCTAGCTACTGGATGAAGCTAAAAGACAGTTTCTAAAAAAGATATGTGTGTGTGTGTGTGTGTGTGTGTGTGTGTGTGCGCGCGCGTGTATGTATGTCTCTGTGTATATCTGTGTGTGTATATCTATGTGTGTGTGTGTGTGTGTTAAACAGCGCTTAATTGTTCCTAAGGGCAAAATCCAGCAACAAAGCACCATCAGAAGAGATTTTCCAATGAAAGGAACGTGACACACATGCCATGCCTGGAATACAGCCACTCGGGAGAGCTGGAGGGTGTACGGGACCGGGCAGGCAGGGGTCCCAGCCTCAAGGGGAGGGTCTGCTGTCCGGGCACGCCGACTCCTGGGGACCCAGGACACAGACTGTACGGGGTCTGACGTTGCCACGTGACACTGGGTTGGGAGTCTCTGCACAGGCATCGTCTCATTAAAAGAAAGACGCTTTTCTAATGAACAGATGATTTCAAAGGGCAGCTCAGGAAGACAAAGCAAAGTATTGTAAAAGAGCTGGAGTCAAAAAATCAAAAAGGACAAACTCGCTTGGCATTTGTTTTTTTCAGCTGAAGGAACTGAAGAACAAATTTAAGCCTCAAGTGGCAATACTTAAGGATGCTGTGGGCAGAATGTTGAACAACCCACAACCCAGGAAGCACCAAAGGAAGATGGAAAGAGTACACAGAGTCACGGTACCAAAAAGAACGGGCCGACACAGAAGAATTTTATGAAACAACATATGATCAGGAGGCAATAGTGATGACTGTTCTGAAGGAATTGGCAAAAACCAAAGCCGCAGGAATTGACAGAATACCAAGTGACATATTTCAACAAACAGATGCTTCCCTGGACATTCGCACCAGGCTATACCACACGATCTGGACGACAGCTATCTCGCCAACTGGGTGGAAGGGACCCATATTTATTACCATACCCAAAAAAGGGGATCCAACAGAGAGTGGAAATTATCGAACAATATCACTAATACTATACGCAAGCAAAATCCTGCCAAAGATTATCCAAAAACAGCTGGAATAGTACATTGACAGAGAACCACCGGAAATACAAGCTGGGTTTAGAAGAGGCTGTAGCATTAGGGACATCATAGCTGATGTCAGATGGATCTCGGCTGAAAGCAGAGAGCACCAGAGGAATGTCTGTGCTTCACTGACTATGCAAAGGTGTTTGTGTGGATCACAACAAACTGTGGCTGACTCTGAGAAGAATGGGAATCCCAGAACACCTGATGGTGCTCTTGTCAAATATAGTAACCAATACTTGGACCAGGGAGCAATCATCAGAACAAAGCAAGTAAACACTGTATTGTTCAAAACTGGGATAGGAGAATGTCAGGGACGTATCTTGTATCCATACCTCACTAATCTATATGTGGAACAGATCACTCGAGAGGGTGGGCTTTATGAGGAAGACTATGGAGGAAGACTCATCAACAACTGTGCATTATGCAGATGACATAACTTTGCGTGCCAAAAAGGAACAAGGCCTGAAATACTTGCTGCAGAAGGTCAAGGACTGTAGTCTTCAATATGGATTCAAGCTCAACATCGAGAAGACAAAGATTCTCACCACTGGGCCAATGGGAAGCACCAGGATGGATGGAGAAGAGATTGAAGTTGTTAACAATTACAGCTTGCTCGGCTCCACAATCAACACTCTTCACACCAGCGTTCAGGAAATTAAAAGACAAATTACGTGGAGAAAACCTGCTGTCAGGGACCTCTCTAGAGTGCTAAAGAGCAATGATGTCAGTCCGGAGACTAAGGTGCACCTGATCTGGGCCATGGTCTTCACAATTACTCGCTATGCATCAGAGAGCTGGACAGTGACTAAGGATGATAGATGACAGATGAAGATGATAGATGATAGATGAAGAATCGATGCCTTTGAGTTGTGGTGCTGGAGAGTACTGAACATACCAAGGACTGCCAAGAAAACAAACAAGTCTGTCCTGGAGAGGGTGAAACCAAGTTGCTCTCTGAAGGCAAGAATTTTGAAGCTCTGTCTCACATACTTTGGGCACATGGCCAGGAGGGACCAGTCCTTGGAAAAGGACACCGTGTTTGGAAGGGTGGAGGGACAGCACAGGAGAGGGAGACCCTGGGCGAGATGGGTTGACACAGTGACTGGGGTAATGACAGTAGGTGTGATGGAGACAGGGGATAGGACAGGGTTCAGAGCTGTTGTGCAAGGGGCCAGTATGAGGCGCAGGTGACTTGAGGGCATATAACAACAACAACAACAGATACATGCAGTGGGTGAGGATTCCAGCTCATGTTTGGGGGGTACATTCACCCCATGAGTTTCTAGGACTCTGTACAGTTGTTCTATCAGCAGTTTCCTGCTGCTTTTCCTACTATGTCTCACAGGGTCTCCACAAAACCCCA